CGGTTTCAAATGGGAAATGGTCAAAATTGAACAAAATTGGAAAAAATGATGTTCGATTTGGAACAAAAAACATAGTGTCAAAATTGAAAAAAAAATTAAACTTAGTGTCAAAATCGAAAAAAAATGAAAACTTAGTGTTTTTTGTGGAAAAAAAATTCAATTTTGACACGTCAGCATATCATGTCAGCATGCCACATCATCAAAACTGACACGTCATCATGCCACGTCAACATGTAACTTGGTTAACCGGTCAAGTGGTCAGAAGTGTAACAAATTGGAAAACACAGTGTCAAATTTGAGACAAAAAAAAAATACGGTGTTAAATTAGAATTTTGGTGTAAACGGAGTGTTTTTATGCTATTTACCCTTTAAATTATGTTCAAATAATACACTTAATTATGACCAGTTTACGATCGGTTGTAGTTGATTAACACCTAATTGGAATATATATGTGTCATCTACATGGTATACAAGTGACATAAGATTGAGAAATTAACTTAAAGAGGGTAATTAATTGTTTATATTTGATCTTTTTTTACATCATTGATCATTAAACTATCATTTAGTGTTCAAATTATACACTTATAACCGACAATAACCCATATTGTTGGTTTTATCTCTTCAAATCGTAGAATACAACCATTACATTCAAATCCTCACTAAATACGACAACCCCCAAACTTGATAATGGTCTATTTTATATGATCGAGTGGCAGTGTCATGTTTTTAGATGACACAGCATAACATGATGTCGTGTTTTGTTTTACTAACACAAAAACGACGTCATTAAAACACGAAAAGAAACGATCATGTGTCAGTTTCGTGTCGAAGTTTGAACACTCATACGACATGTCGTTGTGCTTTTATATTCTACCGAAACACAACACGAACACTAATTTGAATTTGAATTCCATCCCCATTTTGTTTCTTGTTCATATTCGATCGTGTCGTGTTCCTGTCATTTGTAAAAACACAAGGTCTTGTTGTGCGTGTTTCCAAACTTCAACTTAAAATTGACAAGATATTAACATGTATTTTTTTGTGATATTCGTGTTTGTCGTTAGGGTTTGTCTGTAACGGTTGGGGGTCAACATATTTAGTGAGGGTTTAGTTGTAACGATTGTACTCCACGTTTTGAAGAAATGAAACCAACAATACGGATTATTGCATGTCTTAAATGTATAATTTGAACATAAAATAAGAGTTTAATAGTTAAATGTATAAAAAAAAAAAGATCAAATGTGAACAAAATTAACAATTAGTTACCATCCTAAGTCATTTCTTAATATTATTATAAATGACATGTATATGCCAATTGGGTGTTAGCCTAAACGAATTTCTTATTGATATTCTTTAAACTCTAATGATATAAATTAGAGTGAACTAAATTTTTGGATTTTGAAAATTATTTGATTCTTCCAACTTGAAAATTTTGTTTATTTTTCTAAAAAAACTTTTGCTTTTAAAATATTATATATTTGTGATTTATAGCCGAAATAGTCACAATTTTCTTTAATTGTGTATTTTCTAACTAAAATATGATTTTTCCAAAAAGAATCTATGGTTATAATTTTTTTAATTTGTCAGATCATGCATAACTAAAAAGATATTATGTTTTATAAATTAAAATTTATTTTATAATTTTAAGAAAATAAAATAATTTTGTTTTAAAAAATACATTTAAAATTCAAAGAAGATGACTTCGAACACGGATGTATCAACTTAATAAGTTTTAAAAGTTTTAATTCATTCCCCTGAGAACACATCAATATTATAATCAGTTAATCACTACAACAAATGACATTATCCATTTATTTGATGTTTGAATATTTTCAAAATATTGAAACAAAGCTTAAACTTTGCTATTATTTAGTAAAAAAAAATTAGTCTATTTGTCACTATATATCTATCAAGTCAACTCTAAAACAACAAAAATAATATTTTTGAATAATAGAACAAAAAAAACACAGATTTTCATTACAATGGAACTAATTTTAAAGTTAAGGTTAAGCTTTTTGAAAAAAAAAAATAGAGTTCCTAAATGGAACAAGTGTGAGCTTAGCAAGACAAATTTTCATTCAAATGTTTTTTATTCATCCACTTAAAAATAAAGATGTTTTGATTAAGATCATCTGCAATTTCGTATTTCCATCTGCGAACGTACAAGTGGCTCTGTGCTTTAGCCACTTGTACGTTCGCAGATGGAACAACCCATCTGTGATTTTGTACATTCCATCTGCGATTTCGTAACTATTTTGTATAAAAATGTTTTTTTTCTTCATTTTTCACTATCTTTTTTAGATAAACTCTCTCTCTTTCCACCTCCCGCTAGTTACAACGCAAACCAAATGATCATTCATTTTTTAAAGAGGTTTTAAACAAATTTTCCAAAGAAATAACAAAAATGATAAATTTTTTGAAAAAGTTTATATATAATAAAGTTGTTTCGTAATCAAACCCCGATTAATTTCGTAGTCAAAATAAAAAAAACAGAAAAAAAAATCACAAAATCGCAGGTGAATAGGGAGGAAATCGCAGATGGACATAGTCCATCTGTGATTTTAGGCTGGAAAAGGGGTATATATACAACGAAAAAAAAAACCAAATGCGAACGTACAAGTGGCTAAAGCACGTATTGTACGTTCGCAGATGGCATGGCGAAATCGCAGATGAATTATACCCATCTGCGATTTTAGTGGCTAAAAATGCAATTTTGGTTTTTTTTTTGGCTATTTTTCACAAAGTAATTAGTGTATGTGGCTAAATTTGTAATTTTCTCATTAGATATTAAATTTTTAACTGCTCATTTATTTGGTAACTAAGTGTCTTATTTTATAATAAACTTTTAAGTGTATCATTATATAAATAATTGCTCACTTATTTGGTAACACATCAATACTATATTTACCAGTAGCTTCGTTCCTGCAATAGTAAGGAGTTGATTCTTCCATTAACAAATTAACATCCACATAAAATATATGTTAATAAATCAATTTCTTAATTGGAAGAATCACACCCTGAAATATTATAATGGATTTACAATTTGCTCAAGATTGATACGGTGAGTTACAATTCTATGCAATTCACATTTATATTTTCTTATATCAATTTTGTATGTATATGTACACCTGGCTATCACATATTTAATGAAAACAAATAGATATATACAAGTATTTTGATTATCATATACTTAAATTTCACACATACATAAATTTTTCTTGCAATTTGCCCACTTTTGTGGTCAATGCTATATAAAACCAAACCGTGTATATGAAACATGATCTCATAATCATATTATATATTTTATAGCTCTATCATTCTGGCAATGAGTTACATAACTCGTAGCTTATACATACCTTATAGTCAGACATTGTATGAGTAGAGTACTCGTGGTGCATGTGCATACGTGTAGTATTTGACATGTTATGGTTGCCAGGTGGCATACTTATGGGTACTACCAAGATACCTAAGAGAAGAGAAGGTATCGACCATAATGATACTTGTACAACTCATTTTCTTGTTCCAATACATCCCTAAAGTTTGGCATGGCTACATCTTAATGTATCGTATGCGGCTTGTCAACGGGTACATCTTTGGGTCAATCTGGTTTCGTGTAGGCCTCAGTTTCATGGCTTACTACCTCGGTTTTCATGTATGTTTGTTTATATTCTTTCCTTAATTTCTTATTACTATTAAAAGTCAAAACACAAACACATTTTGCCCCTTATAGTAAAACAGTTTTGATTTCTTCGACTTGACAACTCAGTCATCAGGAGGATATTGGTATGCACTAGCCATACAACGCGTTGTTTTATGCCTAACTAAACAATGTGATGCTAGCAAGAAATGTAGCACCCTCTTTCTATCGTGCTCAAGTAATCCCAAGTCTAGAAGTAGAAGCTCCATGTGCTTAGATGAGGACGGATCTTTTCCTTATGGAATCTATCAGTTTGCTATTCCTGTAATTTCAATTGATTCTGTCGCCTCAAGGATCTCATACAGTGAGTTATGGGGTATAACTTCTTTCAGGCAAGAAAACTTGAACAAAAGATGCCCTCACTCTTATAATATTCCATTGCTTTGGTAATTAATGACCCATGCATGCATCTATATATCTGCAGCACTATGGGCAATATTCTTGAGCCTACCAGTGAGATCTTGGAGGTGATTTTGTCATGTTATATGGTGCTCGTTGGGCTATTGCTTTTCACTGTGCTAGTTGCGACTATTCAGGTGATTGATTAACTAACTCTTGGAATTGTTTCAACTTTCAACTCAACATAAGGCATAATTAATTATAAGCTAGTTGAATCTTGTCAGGTATTCTTGTATGCACTTGCGGGAAGGACTACTAGAGCACAAATAACACTTAGAGACATGGAATGGTGGATGAAACGAAGACAATTGCCTTCTGCTTTGAGAAAAAGAGTTCGCCATTTTGAGAATCAAAGGTGGTCATTTATGGGAGGTCAAGATGATATGGACATGATCCAAGATCTGCCTGAAGGACTTAGACGAGATATCAAACGTTATCTTTGCTTGGACCTCATAAAAAAGGTAATATAAACTGTAAACACTATAATTATAAATTATAAATTATATAACTTTTGTGGTCAAACTTGTAACTAATTTATACAAATTTCAGGCACCATTTTTCAACTTCATGGATGATGTAATTCTTGACAATATTTGTGATCGAGTTACATATTTCGTCTACTCAAAGGGCGAGAAGGTTTCCTCACACAAACCCAACATCCAAAAATAAAAACTTTTAATTTGTTTTTGAAAAAAGATTGCAATAACAGGTTTTTCGGTTACCACATATGTGGCATCCATGTGGCGCGAGCGTGCAACCCTTGTAACATATATATATATATATATATATATATATATATATATATATATATATATATATATATATAATAAAGTAAAATAATTTACTAACAAACATTCATATCAACAATCATGGCATGCAGATTATCAGAGAAGGAGATCCTGTCCAGAGAATGGTGTTTATAGTTGATGGAAAAGTAAAAAGAACCCAATTGCTAAGTCGAGGGATGGTTGCAACAAGCATATTAGAACCAGGGAGTTTCTTTGGAGATGAGCTACTTTCATGGTGCCTTCGTGTTCCATTTATAGACCGTTTTCCTGCTGCAACTGCTACATTCACTTGTGTCAAACCAACAGAAGCATTTGCACTAGATGCTAAACATCTAAGGTACATCACTAATCATTTTCGTTACAATTTTGTTAATGAAAAAATGAAGCGAAGAGCAAGGTACTATTCATCAAACTGGAGAACATGGGCTGCTGTTAATATACAAATTGCATGGCGCCATTATGTTTCAAGAACAAGGAGGGGGACATTCAATCATGGTTCAAGGAATAATGTCCGGCTTCAACATTATGCGGCTATGTTCATGTCATTTAAGCCTCACGACCACCTTGAATGAAAAATAAAAAATGTATTTTGGTAGGATTGTTGTAAGATGTATCTAACTTTTTATGTGTTATAAGAAGGTTTTATTGCATAAAATTTTGAGAAAAGAGCTTTATGTAGAGACATTATTGATATCGGTCTTTGAAATCAAATCAAACGAAATCCCGTTCTCCTGTAGTCGATCTTGAAGGTCGGTTGGGCCAAAAATGATCCCGGGAGGAAAGACGCCGCCTTTTGGAAGATCTTGGCGCTGCTTCAAAAGGATCAGAGCACACTGAACTAGAGTGATGGGAGTTGTTAAATACCCAATTTCAGGGCCCATTACTCTCGTAATGATTTCTTTATCAGGCTTTGATGTCGCCTGAGAAGCAAGATTGGCGTCACTGAAGCCATGGCCGATGAACCACATCTTGAAACTGGCGCTAGCGACTTCTTCCTCTGTGGGACCTTCCTTTCTGAACCCTCCGAAACTGAAAAAAGAGGGGAATTTCAACAGAAGCCACCTCCCGAATGAGAAGCTGCCCAGAAGCCCAATTGATATCCCGGTGGCGATGATTCCAATCATACCCAGAAGATTCTTGGTGGCAATCTTTACTCCGAAATGAGCAGGTTTTATTGTAGACCAAAAGGAGGAGCGTTTCTCTGCGTGTTTAGGATCCTCGTTGACTCCTTCAAGACCGTTTGGGTTTTCTGTAAGGATGGAAAGCGTTCTCCGGACAACGGTGGCGTCGGCTGATGGGAGTTTCACAGCCCAAAGTCCGATCTGTTTTTGGTGTTCTATGGTCGATCCTTTTGGAGGAGGAGGACCCGGGATCTGAGAGAACACAAGGCAGATTCGAACTAATCAAAAGTTAGATATAGTCGGAATTAATTCGGAATTTGAATTCAGCAGGAAAGATTACACAAAACGATGAATGTATCGTACGAAACAAGCCGGAAATATAGCCTTACCGTAGGTCGAGCTCTTTTGGGTCTTGATCGTCGAAGCTCCGCCAGCTTATCAGCATTAGCCACTCCCAAAACCGCAGACTCAAAAGTCCCAAAATTACCTGCTATCTTTTTATCCGATTCAAGGGACAGGTAGGCTTCAACCCGATTGGGAACCGCCGGCGACACCCACTGCCTGGAATTGAACATCAACCCTATTTCTGCCGGAATCGAATCAAATCCACAAGCCGAGATCACCAAACTACCTTTCTCCACCGCCTTCTCATGGTACACGACTTCCATCCTCTCCATGAACTCCGGCTCACCTGAAATATCCAGGTAATCGCACCCCGCTTCAACACAGGCAGCGACGACGGGCTCACCGTAAAGGCGAAAAGGGCCAACGCAATCGAGGACGAGCTTAGCTTGGGAAGCCATGCGGCGGAGAGAGGATGGATCAGATGTGTCGGCAATGAGGAGGGGGACGGTGGGGTGAGATGTGGCAGCCCATTTTAGGGTTTGGGAGAGTTTAGAAGTGTTCCGACCGGCTAGAGCGAGGGTTTTGAGAGGCGAATTCGGCGAATCAAGAAACTTGATTGCTTCTCTGACGACATATTTACCTGTGAAACCAGATGCTCCGAAGATGATGATGTCGTAAGTGGGTAGTTGAACTTCTGCCATATTTCTTATTTCTTTTGTGAGATTAATTAAGCAAAACGAAAACGGTTGATTGTTCTCAATCTAGATTGTCATGAAAGGGGTGGAGTTACTGGAACAAATTATAGAAGATGGTAGTTTATTGGTGCAGGAAATGTGTACCCAATTTTGAAGGTTTTATGATGACCAAAAGTGGCGAAGGAATAGATGTTGCAGTTGCACCCTTCCAAACTTCGTCAGTTCTAATCGGTTGATGTAAAAAAGACGTAGGTGTAACTCAAACCAGAGCATCTTTAATGCGGGCCTGATATTCATATTTTTAAAATAAATAATGTCGGTATATCAATTTTTGGTTTTAAAAATCCATATAATACTTATTTATATTAAATATAATAAATGTAATAATAAATTGTAATTAATACACTTCTTTATTTCAAAATTTTATTTAAAAAATATTTAGTCACTTTGATATTTAAAATTTTTTAGTTAACCCGTGTAATACACGGGTTTTAATTAACCCACCACCACCACTAAACATCACCACACGTTGTCACTACCCATCACCAGCTACCACCCACCCATCAACAACATATAAATATTAACTCTCAATGGCCCGACCCACATTAGTTTATCTTTTTTCTTTTATATATATATATATATATATATATATATATATATATATATATATATATTGAAAAGGCAATAACATTAAGGGGCACACCAGCAAAGAGCTGGGAGGCACAAAACTAACAATTACATAGGTTTGATAGCTAATCTAGGAGAAGAAAACCAAACACTCTCATCTATCACCACTTTTAACAATCTACTATCAATCCAAAGAAGAGAGTCCCTTTGGATAAGGACGAAAATATCATCCGCCCTTCTCACCTGAGACCGAAAAGTAGCCTCATTCCGACTCCTCCAAAGATTAATAAAAGTCGCACTCCCGACCGCGAATAGAGCTTTGCCTTGCAAACAATCATCAGCAGGATCCTCAAGCCATTGAAAGAAGTCATCCATAGAAACAATATCACGGCTGTTGATATATATATATATATATATATATATATATATATATATATATATATATATATATATATATAATAAACGAAAGAAATTGTCACGTGTCCCTTCAAAACACTAATTCCATCTAATGTTAAATACCGTTTTTGCCCCTCTTTGATTTCACCTTCTATAATGTCCAGGTCAAAATAAATCAGCATTTTGATATCCGATTTTTATGGTGTTTATGGTATATGATCTCTATTTAAATTTAATGTGATACATTTGAAATAGATACCCGATTCAGTCCTCCAGTTTTATAATCAATACAAAAAGTTTTAAACAAACTTAACTCTTATCAATAATATAAATGTTTTATAAATTTTTTACTCGTAGTTTCCACGGGTTGTGACCTAGTATATATATATATATATATATATATATATATATATATATATATATATATATATATATATATATATATATATATAAAAGCATTCAATCGAAAACATTTCTTATTACGAGAACATTTGATAACAAATTTGAACAACACAATTTTTTTTATATCTAGCACCACCTACCACCACCCAACCAACACCGCAACCCACCATCACCACTTACCTCAACCACCCATAACCACCATTCACCACCACCACCCCCACCTATCACCTCCACCCACCACCCGCCACCCGCCACCACCATCACCACTTCCCACCTCCACCACCCATACCTACCACTCGCCATCGCCACCAACCAACACCCACCAGCACCACCCACTTCCCACCACCAGCACCACCCACAATCACCCATCACCACCACCCTCACCCACCACCCACCAAAACCACCACCCACGACCATCACTACCGCCAACCCCACCATTAACCACCGCCACCCATCACTACCTACCACCATCGCCGCCCATCACCACCTTCCAACTCCACCACTCGTCACTACTACCTGCCACCACTACCCTCACCCACCACCCACCAAAACCATCACCCATCACTATCACCACCACTCACCACCACTTACCCACCATCACCACCCATCACCATCATATCGCCTCCACCAACCAACACCATCACCCACCACAACCACCCTCATCCACCACCTATCACCACCAACCACCCCCACCACCACCATTATCCACCACCACCACTAAACATCACCACACGTCATCACTATCCATCACCGCCACCGCCACCGCCACCACCCACCCACCCATCAACAACACTACTACCCACCAATCACCACAACCACTACACATCCCTATCACCACCCATCTTCACCACTACCACCACTACACATCCCCATCACCACCAATCTTCACCACCACCACCACCCACTACTATAACCACCACCACCATATGTGATTAAATTAATATAATCACATAAATCCTATATGATTATATGTATTTAGTCACATAAACTACATATGATTAAATACATATAATGTAACATCCCAAAATTTTCAACAATTTTAAACTTTTCAAAACGATCCGTTTACTATTAAAATGTTTACAAAAATAGTGTTCTTAAAACATTAATTAAAAATCAGCGCCTCCCAAGATCAACAACATAAAATCAGGATGTGTACGGTCACGCCTTCGCCTTGCCACGAACCTCTGAAACACCTGAAACTATAAACCAAAAAATATAAGCACAAAGCTTAGTGAGTTTCCCCCAAAGTACCAACACACAATAGATAACATATACATCAAACAACATGCATACAGAGCCTTCAGCCTGTCTGGACCGCCTCACCGGGCCTTCAGCCTGTCTGGACCGTTCTCCGGGCCTTCGGCATGACTGGTACGCCCCACTGGCCTTCAGCTTATCTGGGCCACCCTGGGTATGTTGGCCTTCAGCACTAAGCAGGACCGCCTCAACCCAACCATACACATAAAACCATGTCGACATATACATAACAGATAAACATACACATAACAGACCAATGTAAATATTACCGGGTATGTTGACTGGCAGCACAAAGCAATACAGTCTCAACCTAACCACACTACATCAACACATGCAACCGTTAAACATATAGCCAGAACATATAACAGGCATATCTAACATATCACTAAGCATAGCATCATCCTATCTACCAGGATACAGATCACCACCGTACTCAATCATACGATAAACCAGGATAACAATCCAAAGGGCCGACATTAGTGCCTTCGACTCGAGAGTATAGTGAGGACAACTCACCTTGTACTGCTGAATCCTACAGAAGATCCCTGGTTGTTGGTGTTGGATTAGGTGTCTAAGCCCATAACTATTTTGGTATGTACTTGACCCGATTGTGAGCATGGTCCTTTTGGGTTGCCTTCACCATAGTAACTGATAGGATGAATTAAGGAGAAAAAGGATTAATTATGATTTATTAATATATTATATGAATAATATATTAAAAGAGAAATCATATTGTTTAATTAATATTAGTCAAGAATTAATTAAGAATTAATTTTGTGGCTAAAAGACATTAATTAAATAAAGGGAACTAGAACTGTCAATTGTGTGATAGTTGAATATTAGGCTAATGGACTCCATAGAAGTTGGAGTGGACAAAGTCTATGGGGAAACCCATTAGAATTCGTCCAAGGCTTCTAAGGAGGGGGTCCATGGACTACTTAGGGCCTAAGCAGTCAGGTTAGGGTTTCCTGGTTGAAAACCCTAATAGCCTAAGTATAAAAGGAACCCTTGGCAAGCCAAAAACGTCCCTAACCTTCTAAGAGAAACCCTAGGACGTTTTTGGTGCCTCCTCTCTCTCTCCTTGTTCATCTTGTTGCATATGGTGTTTGTGACTCCATTAGAGGTGCAACATTTGAGGTACTAGGCTTTCAGAAGTCAATTACAAGAAGGATTCAGATTGTTATTGCAACATAACAATCAAGGTAAGATCTAAACTTTATTCTTTTGTAATTTCGATTATTGTATGATAGAATTAGGGTTTATGAGCTTTGGATGATTATTGCATGTATATTAGACAAACTAGATCCAAAGCTTTAGGGTTTGCATGTACACCATAGGATTGATGTAGTGCTCAAATCCCATCAGTGGTATCAGAGCCTATGTTGTTTGTTTGATGTATTTGATGCCTTTCATGATTATTCAAAGCTGGAAATCGAAAAATCTTGGATCTGGAGGCTGGACTCGCCGAGTCCATATGTGAACTCGCCGAGTTCACTGGCAACTCGACGAGTCCAAGGTTTGATCGACGAGTCGTAGTATCAGATGCCAGATTTTTCGGGTTTTTGACCTATTTTGCTGTGGGATAATTACCAAAAACGTTTTTTATTGATAAAATCCGATTTTTATTAATTTGGAGTGATTATCCTTACCAAAATAGTAGATTATTGTCAAAATTAAGATAATTACTTCTTTTATAAGATAAATATTAATTATTTGTAATTTTGTTTTGAATTATCTTGTAAGAAATTGAATTAGGTCAAATTTAGATAATTACCAATTATTTGATTAATTTAATTATTTGTAATTTGATCTAGATTGTTTTGAAAAGTTTCAAAACTTTCCCTCAAGTTTTGGAATTAAAATTTTTTGATTAAAAATATTAATTTTGAAAATATTAAATTCTAAAACCCTGTTTTTGGAAAAAGTTCAAATTTCACCCTTATGGTTTTATTAAGTTAATTAAATGTATAATTAAAAGAGAGTTAATAAATCCATAATGATATGGTTTATATTTAATTAAATTAAAAGTATAATTTATTAAATTAAACCATCTAGTATTTTAAAAGTGTAAAATACATCTTTATACTATCTATAAAATTAAAAGGTCTAATATTATATATGTATAAGTAATGTCAGTCTTACCGTTAGTAGGCCTCATTCACGAAGCTGGTCTCTAAGGGGTGTTTAAGGAAGCGGCATGTTAAATGACCGTCATTGGGTATCCACTCTTACCCACCGCACTCTTTACTAGTGGAGGGTCGTTAGCCGAACGGGTAGGATAGGACGCAACCTTCCATTATAAGTATAATGAAGTACGAAGTAACTAAACACTTTTATAAATTCCCAAATCGTAGTTACTTTAGAAAAAATGTGGAGTTGGTGCTATTCCATGAAATTACACTTTATACCCTTGCTAAGACGTTAGTGGAGCGTGTGTGGTTAACCGGCACACTAATTGGGCTCTAAGAAAAGGTGGAAAAGGGTGACTCGATGTTTGTCATAGATCGATGGAGCGTGTGTGGTTAACCGACACGTCGATTAGGTAACTGTAACATTGGGGGCATCATGTATATTTGCATGGTT